CAGGACGTTTTTGGCGTTAATTGTATCTGATGACAATGCAGGGCTGGCTCGCGTAAAACATCAGAAATAATAAGGATAAGTTGCTCATTCATTCCTCATGCGAACGTCTACAGTACACGTTATCGTGAGCGCGCGTTTTCTTTAGTAAATAACCAATATGATTTCAATACGACCCCCCTCTCTCACTCCCTACTCCCAAAGTACGACGTGTCCTGGCCTTGATTCCCCTTAGGATCGCAAATGTTTTTCAATGCTAGTCGGGATACACCCTTTGCAAGAATCAATCTCAGTGCTTTTACTCTTCCACGCGGAATCCGATATCAGTCGGCTGGTTCCAGAAAAACGTTTTTTTTTAAATATAAGGTGATGATGCCTGCCAACGATAGGGCGTGTGACGCGGCACGGAGCGTTGCTAGTACGGCCTAGTCCCAACAACGATGTCATCCTGAGCCCGCTCCAACTGGTGAGAAATCTGCCCTGGCTACGTTAAACCATTTCCACGTCACACGCCCTATCGTTTGCTGGGATCATGACTGTATATTTGGAAAATGCACTTTATGTAAACTGGCCCATAGCTGTTGGCTTACATTAGTCTGTGACGAATACCTGCAGAATTCCCTGGATGATTAGTTGAACGTGCCTTCTCCTGTCCTTTCTGGGCATTCTGTCGATTGTTCCTATTGCTCGCCGAAGGCGTTCATTCATGATAACTGCCCAGCAGTTCGCATCCTAAAAAACAAAACTTTCCAAAATCAGGTAAAGTCCTCGGTAGACAGGCGCCTGTAGGTATCATTCGTATGTGTTTTTTTTAAGAATTCCACGGGCAAAAAAGGCAAACAACCTAGGTTTACAAACAAGCGGTCCGTATTATAGGCGACAGGAAAGGTGTGACCAGGTGCAAGTAATGGTAGCAGAGAAAGCTTACTTGGTGTATCCGGTGTTATTTCCTTCAATGGGGAGGGGGTACTTTTGTAAATTCGGGTTCGGGTCAATGACATCAATGACATTTAGAAAGAGATACGAACGATATGATGCGCAGTGAGATGACACC